ATTAAGAACAATGTGTTTGGATTGTACTTTTGATTTCCAATCTGTGTTGATAGAAAGGTTCAAAAACATTCCATAGATGAAACTTTTAAAAAAATTACCAAGGAAGGATAGGTTAGTTGAAGGAAGCAGATGTTTCCAAATGTTTGCAATAATAGTATGAAAGCTTAAACCGTCATTTTCTGTTGTTTGTTTTTTTGCCTTAAATTATTGGCCTTATCACCCTTGTCTTTTTCTAATTGAAGCACTTTAACCAATAAGATATGAAAAGCATGTCTCAAAACAGATTTTTGAGACAAGTCTGTCACTGTATTGCTCTATTAGGAAAATGGTCATATAAGTCAGCTTCTAAAATTATTCTTTCAAATTTTATTTTGATAGCTACACTTTAGAGGGAGAACAGAGCACTTATAGCCCTCTCCCCTCCCCGACTCTGTGTAGGAAGTATAGAAAATGAAATGCCTTTTTTCAATTTTAGGATTCAGACCTGGTGTTACATGGGGCTCATTTTTATTGGAAAGATGGAATCTCGCTCTTGGTGACTAGCATCAGAATAAGCAGATGGATTTTAATAATTAGTGGAGTTGGGAAGTTTAGTCAGTTCCATTCATTAAATTGGTACAGAAATTAACTTAGGCACATTAAGAAATTACATGTGTTAGTACAGATTTTTGGCTTAAAAATTAGTATCTTTGCTATTTGATGTTGGCAGTGGGTATTCTCTCTGAATTGTGTGTGAATTTGCAAATTTGTCAGCCCACTCTCATTTTATAAAGGTGATTGAAATCCCTGGCAAACTACAGAAATGAATATAAATGATTCCAAACTAGCTCTTGATTACTAGGTGGGTACAGTATATAACCTTCTTTAGCTTTTCTTTTTCCAGAGATTTAATTATTTTTCTAGTTCTAGATAAGTGGTCATTTTCCTCTAATCTTGAAAATGGGGGAGGGAAAAACAGGGTTGGTGGGAAGAGGAGGCTGAGGAAGATAAAACTAAACCAAAAAACAAAAGCTCTAACATTGGGTTAGCAGGATCTGCAATGTAGCTGCGATGCTCTTCCACTCTAGCCAGTTGGTAAAGAGAGCACATATAACTAACAGTCTCATCTTCAAATCTGTGCTGATACTGAAACACAAAAAGACCAAAATTAAATGGAATACTGCCTTCAATAGGCAATTCAAAAAGGAAGTTTGTGCTTTAATGAAGAGGGGACATGCTGGTTGGCATTGTTACTTGCTTTTCTCAGAGAGCATTACCAAAAAAAAAAAAAAAAAAAAAAAGAAGAAGAAGAAAATATGCAGGGCAAAAAATCAGTTATTTTTCATCTTGAAAGTATGCCGGGGTGGCCTTGGTTCTGCTGTTCCCTGAATTACTAAATGGCTTGCTTTTCCAATTTACTTTTCTACATACATTAAGAATTTTGCTGATTAATGGTCCATTTTACTAACTGTAATCTTTAGGATTAATGTGGAGATTCCTAGCCAATATTTCTCACCCTTCTACTCACAATTTCAATTAATTTGGTGTGGTGGAAATGATAGAAAATACTTTTTTGCTATTCTTTAGGGCTAATGGAATCTTATGTGTTCAGGACAGAATATTGTGACAAAGCTTTTCTCTGACAAATGGCCATGGTTTGCCTGATAAATGAGTTGGTAAATTTTACCTGTGGAGCTCTCATTTGTAATGGGGGTTTCAGATCCAGCCCTGAAGGGAAGTGGTGAGCTGTGCTCTGTGCCATTAAATCAGCTTTTGTCTCTGTCCAGGCAGGCCTAAGATCTGGTTTAACAAGAAATGAAATGCTCACTGCTCAAGATCACCTGAACTTTACGGACAGAGACTTTGCAAACTAATTTACCCACCTTAAGAAATTCAGAGAATACATTTTTACCATAATATGTGATCTTGTCAGCATTTTACTGAGACATGTTTTTTGTTTTTTTGAAATGTAGACAGACACCCCTCTCTTTAGTATTAAAAAGAAAAAAAAATTACAATTAAACCTCATAGGTTAAACTGTATTCTTAACATGTTTTCAGTTTAGTCCAGGGAAGAAAAAATATGCCTTGAATGAGAAATATCATGTTTTAATGGTCATATTAAGGAAAAGGTAACTTTCTTCTTTTATGGTAGTGGTTTTCTCTAAGGATTTTCGCCTTTTTCACATACAGTTGTAAATGTCAGTTGTAAAAATGTTCATTCTTCTAGAATCAAGTCAGTAGTCTAATGTCTTGGGTTTTGCTGCTACATAAACTTTGTTTATGGAAAAATTCTGTGTGAATTGGTAACTTGCATCTGAATCTTAAATATGTTATAGTTTCTCCATAGAAATCATAATTGAAGAAACGCAATACATGTGGTTCTTTTTCACATGAGAAGTGTGGCATCACTATCATTTGTTAATTGTGGAATGTTTATATTAACACTAGGGGACCTCCTCCTCCTCATTTCAGCTGTAGGTCATGGGACCTTCCCTGTAGATAGTGTACAGCTACCCATTTGCCTCACTCTTGGCTGCCTCTTAACTTCAGCTAACCCGTTTCTGTGAGTCAGATTTCAAAATGCTGCCTTTCCCTTTCATCTCCCTCCCCTCCATGCCACCTTTGAGTTACCATTGCGTGGCTGTATAAGCATGTAGTTGGTGTTTTACCATAAAGAGGTTTGCTCGGTAATCTGTTGTTTCTTTCACTTGGAAAGGAACTGCTCTTATAATATGACTATCCTTATTAAAATGCCAGGTTTTAGAATATAATATTTAGAAAGTGATTTTTAATGTTCCTTTATAATATATATTCTATTAAGAATCATTGTTATGCCTGTTGCTAATTATTTTTGATTTGGATCTGAGGTGTGAGGATTAGGAAGAAAACAGAAGAAAGAGTTTAAACCTCTTTGTAAGGCAACTTTGATCATGACAGTTGAGAAAGGGAGAGAATGTTGTGTGTGCTTTCAAACTAAAGGGAGCAGGTCCTAGGATTAAGTTGACTCAGTTTCTCTCTTTTCTCTCCAAAATAATTTCTAAATCTTTTTTCACATATAAATGTAAATATAGGATTTAGTAAACTAATAAGTAAAATGGTAATGTAATACTAGTTTAAAATAATTGTCTAAAAATGCCACAAAAGGTCAACATGTTCATTATAAGTTAAACTAGAGCTGTATGATACAAAGTCAGTGTAATCATTTAGTATTGAATTCATTGTAATGAGACCTTTTCCACATTCACTTGGATTCATTGTTTAAATATATTAAAGAGTTACTCAGCTTATTAGAATTACATAAAGAGTTCTAATTTCATGATGTGGACTTTGATAATATCTATTAACCCAGGCAAAAACTCTGGAATAAGAGTGTTTAATATTTACCAGTCTTTAGCATAATGAAATTCTACTTCCCACACTGGCAGTAAATTGTAAATTTAAGTAAATACCAAATTATCATACAAGAGAACTTTGCTAAGTCTCCTTTTAAGCAACAAGCCAATGGTGGTACTTGGGATGGAAAGCAATGATCAAACAAGTATTGATTCATATATTTTTCTGCTCAGTACCTTCTTTCCAAACTGTTTTCAGTAGGGAAAAAAAATAGCTTATGTTTACACTCAATAGTATATAATCGCATACATGAAATGCCTTAATTTGAAGTAAGCATTTTTAGACTTTCCAACAAGATTGCAAATTAATGTGAGCATTGCTTCATTTAACACTTAAAATATGGTTTCATAAAAAAAATCAAAAACACTTCAACACTTCAAAAACTTAAGTCTCCACTTGGTTTTGAAAATTAGGCTTAATGTCACCATTGTTAAAAATTAGATATTTAGCCCCTACTATGTAAAATAGGTTACTTATCTGATGTAATTTTTGATGATAGGTAGATATTATACTTCACATTCTTTGTATGGCAGTTGCTGACACTTGCACTGTCCATAACCATTAATGATGATGAAGGGTCCTTCATGGGTGGGTTCATATTCATTATACGGTCCTTGGTCTGACATGTTTGACATATGGAGTCGTGTTTGGGATCGGAGCTGCCTGTGGTTCTGAATCATTGAGCACTGTCTAATTCTTCTTAAAGTGGGAGGGCAGCACTTCCTGGAGATGAACACTATAAAAATAATAAAAAAGAAAGAAAACAATAAAGCCATTGTTCCTGTAATTACCCGCTGAGTGAAGATGGCATTGTCTGGTTCGGGAAAGTGTTCCTCAGTAGTAACTGCTGTGCCTGCAGTAGTTGGGATTTCTTTGTCTCCCACATAGTAACTTGATGAGCTTATTCTTTTTGTATATTCAGTGGTTGGATCTCTATAAGTTGTAGCCATGGCTGTGATGACAGTGGTTGATAAATTCCAGCAGAGCTGAAATCCATGGACTGCATCTAGTATATCCTCTCCTTGGGTGTGGTCAGGACTGTGGCATAAGATGGAATGCTCCCACCGACCTTGGAAATTGCCCAGCCAGGAGGCCAAAGCACATATTCTAGGGCTGCATTCCCACAGATTGCCAGAGAGGCCAACAGTTGTGAGGGATCTCAGGGAATTTAAGATCTTGGAATCCAGGCTGTTTAACTTGTTGTTATCCATTAGGAGTATTTTAAGATTAGGCATTATTTCAAACACTGTCAGATCGATGGCTTTGATTTCATTTCCAGTCAGGTCTAGCTTTTCTAAAGTGCCCCAGGTCCATTCCATCCCACATGTCAAGTTGCTGATTTTGTTCCATTGTAAGAAGAGCGTGTGCAGACTACTTAGACGTAGGAAATGAGCAAAATTAATCTTCGTCAGCTGGTTGTGCTCTAGGTGAAGCTCTCTCAGTTTGATTAATCCCGCAAATCCATTTCGAGCCAAACTTCGCAAACGGTTTGTGCTCAAATCTAGAAACTCCAGACTACGACAGTCCCAGAACAAGCGTACTGGGATAGTCCGCAGGGAGTTGGACCGTAAATGCAAGGTCTGCAGCTTCCGAAGGCCATAGAAGAGCTCTGGGTGCAGAGATGACAGCTGATTAAAAGACAGGTCCAAATTTTGCAGATTAATCAGTTGGGTAAAAGTTGTATTTGGCAAGTAAAATATTTTGTTGGAGCTTAAGATTAATTCCTTAAGTTTATATAGTCCTTGAAAAGCATCTTCTTTTACTGTTGAAATTTGATTGTGGTCTAAGTGGAGCCAGGTAAGTTGACTGAAGCTGGCAAATTGATCCCTTTCAAGCTCTGTGATGTGATTGTGCCTCAGGGAAAGGCCCAGAGAGCCCTTGTCTGTGGCGTTTGGCACTGAGTGGAAGCCCTGAGAGTCGCAGTAGAAGAGCTGCTTCTCGCAGCGGCATTTAGGTGGACACGCCATTCCCAAGGCAGGCAGCATTTTTAAAACCATACTCATTGCATATATTGCTGCCAGCATAGGGGCCCCTAATGGCCACTTGAAATGTAAGCCTGCAGAATATAATTTAAGGAAAACAAGAAGATAGGATATATTTTAGCAGAACGTATGAGCTATTAAGAAATGAACATAACAATATGGTGAAATATTTCACTGCATTTAACTTATTTTTCATTTGCTGCAGAAAAATTAACCTTGTTAGTATGACTGGAACAAAACTTAAACCATTAAGAAGATAAAACATAGCCTGTTATCATCAATATATGCTTTTACTTAAACCTCAGGATCCAAAAATGTGACAGTGATTCCCCTCATAAAATGTGAATTCAGTGGTTTATTTAAAAAAGCGTGATTTGTTGCTGACTGTACAAGGCATATAAATGCATGGACTTACCCATTCTTCTGAGCACATTGGAGGCTGCATTCAGTCGCGGTTGTTAGACTCAACGCAGTGAGTCTGTAAAAGGCTCTAACATGCAGGAGCCTTTGACCAGTTTCCTGTTTTCTATGTCCCAGGCTTTCTGAGTAAAATTTAATCCAGCAGGGTGAGTTGTTTTTTTCCTTAGGATATTCTTCTCAATAGCGTTGGTTTCATTTTTCGTGACCACTCTGTTTCCTTAAATCGCTTCTGAATATAAGTTATTAATTTCGTCCTCCTCTAACTGCTCAGCTGGTTAATCAAAGCATCAGTCTTTCCTTTCTGCAGCTGTTAGTTCTCCCGGTCTTAACTTGTTGATGGCAGATGGGCGGCTTGTTGCAGAGAAGAGCTCCTGGAGCAGCATGAGTGCATTTACTGAAAAGCTTTTCCGAGAAACGGCACAAGAATGGATTTGCTTATGTGCTGCGACCACACAGAACTGTATATAGGCTGACGTCACCGGGTGACGTGTCTTTTGTTTGGGTTTTCCAGAAGCTTTACTGTTATAAAGCACGATGCTTTGTAACAGTATCGGGTCGTTGTAAGACCCCGATTACAATAAAGCAAGAAAGAAGAACTCCTGACTTAAAAACATGGTATTTCTTCAGTGTAGGAGCAGCAGTGGGGTTGTAATAAAGACTGCATTCAAGAAGACCCGTCTGAACAGTGAGTTGGGTTAGCAGAGAGATGGTTTTATTGCCTGTGAGAGCCAGTGTCAGACTGCCGATTCTGCATAAAAAGATCATGTAAATGGTCAGGAGCCTGCAGGATTTATGAAGTGCTGATCTAACGCCAGCTTATGCAAGTTATTGCCCGTTGCTCTGGTAGTTTGGGAAGCTACTCAATCACCTTGTTGTCATGCTTGGTTAAAATAGAAGTACGACTACGATTTGCTTTCAGTGTGTTGGTAAACTAGATATGTGGGTTTGGCTTCTTTGTCACTAAGAGCTTAACACCACAAACCAAGAATAAAGGGTGGAAAAGCTTGCAAAGCATTTGATTATTTTGTTCTTTGAGACTTTCAGAGAAACTCTAATTTAAAAGATTTCTCCTCTGTACTATTTTATAATAATGTTTTATCACAGGAGAAAAGGGTAGGTTGATACAGTCATTTAATACTGCATGCCCTAAGCCTTAACAGTTGAACAGAAATGATTTAGGAAAAGTGATACAGCATGGCTGAATCTAACACAATCCCTTGTATTTACCTCAGAATCTTAACCTATTCCTTCAACTGAAAGCCTCCCGTGATGCTGGGATTTGGCCATTGTGGTACTCAAATAATAGAACATTTATTTGCACACTTAATAGCTCCTACTGGCACACTTAACAACTGACTTTAAGTGTTTTAACTTGACCTAACTCTATCTTCTTGCTGTTGAATAGTGTCATCACTTTTCAGCGCTTGGTTATGAATGTACAGCTCCATGTTTAGTGTTGTGAAAGCTATTTTAGCATCAAGTCAGGGTCATGTTTTCAGGCCTGACAAAGGTACGTCCTGTTACACATTTTACCTTACTGATTTAGCCTTCCATGCCAATTTCTCTTATACCATTGGCACGTACCCTTATTGCAGTGGTTCTCAACCTTCTGGCCCTTTAAATACAGTTCCTCATGTTGTGACCCAACCATAAAATTATTTTCGTTGCTACTTCATAACTGTAATGTTGCTACTGTTATGAATCGTAATGTAAATATCTGATATGCAGGATGGTCTTAGGCGACCCCTGTAAAAGGGTCATTCGACCGCCAAAGGGGTCGCGACCCACAGGTTGAGAACCGCTGCCTTATTGGGTCTTGTTTCACACCTGAAGGCAGAAATCTCAAAACTACCCATGTAGTCTGTGAAACATCATTGGCCTGTTGGCTTCCACGGCCTTCATCCTATGGGCATGTCTAAAAAGTCGTTGTTTTAAGGGGCATAGATTCTGTGTTGGTGGTACTGGAGTAAGAACTGGAAGACTTCAAGGCTACTTCCTTGGGGCCCTGTGTAAAGGTATTGTGAAAATGTAGCAACTGCAGATCTGTAGTTTTAGAAGCAGACCCCAAGACGGTATTAGAAGTATGAGTTTTGTTAGGGAAAATGCCTGGGAAGTATAAAGAAAGAGAGAAGAGCCCTAACCGGTTTGGCTCAGTGGATAGAGCGTTGGCCTGCGGACTCAAGCGTCCCAGGTTCGATTCCAGTCAAGGGCATGTACCTTGGTTGTGGGCACATCCCCAGTAGGGAGTGTGCAGGAGGCAGCTGATCGATGTTTCTCTCTCATCGATGTTTCTAACTCTCTATCCCTCTCCCTTCCTCTCTGTAAAAAACCAATAAAATATATTTTTTTTTAAAAAGAAAGAAGATAGCAGGGATACTCTGGGGGCTGGTAGAGTCTTCAGACCACAGGGCAGGTCTGACATCTCTGAAAGCAGAGGAGTAGGAAAGATTGGACAGGTAGGGTTTTAGACGACAGTTTCCCCAGGCCAAAGAGAAGTCCTCAAACCAAAGTTGCCCATGAGTGGAACCCCACATTCTCAGGAATGAGCCCACATTAGAACTCCTATCATTTTCCTGCTTCCTGGTTAAGAAACAGAGGAGAGTTCCTGTTAGACTTCAAGGATGCTCAAGACTAACCTTGAGCCTTTCCATAGTCTATCTCTCTATAGGCTAAAAGTTCTTAACCTAGGTTCATAGACTGTCTTGTGGAATTTTGTAGCTTTTACATTTTTCTGTGAATGAGCTTTAATCAGATTCTTAGAGGGTCTGTGACCTTAGATTTCAAAGTTACTGTTCTGCAGGAACTTGATCCCAAAACTTCCAATGGGGGAATCTGATAAAGGTGGTCTCTTTAATTTACTTTTTTAAGGAAAAAAAGCTCTTGAGATACTGTAAATGTCTGCATTGAAGTCAGCCACCCTTTGATGGGGGAAAAAAACCCCCCCAAAAAAACCTTTGCCAGGCAGGAGGAGCTGGATTAAATTCTTCCCTGAAGTAACCACTTTAGTTCCATGTGGAGAAAAGCATTAGAGTCAATTGGATTAGAGCAACCATGATTAGGAATGAGTTATATATGAAAATTTAGAAGGAAAATAATCTCCTTCCTTTTAGACTCTTGGTTCTCCTTTCTGCTCTCTAGGTCACTCGGCCTACATCTTATATACTAAAAAATGGGAAATACTTAAATTATATTATCCCAGTACAGTTATTACAGATTTATGTGCAACAGAAATTGCCCAGAGAAGCACCAATGGAATCACAGCTAATTATTTTTTATGCATGTGGAAAAGAGGGCAGTAATATGGTATCACAGTGCCCAGAGTGCACAATTCCTTCTAGGTCACCAGCCGTCTTGTTCACTTGCCCTCTCTTTGGATTCAAAAGATTCAGGCAGTGGAACCAAAGAAAATAATAGTGCATGTCTCAAAATTGGTGGAGCACACAGTTCCCATTGATGGAATTTTGTATTATTACCATTATTATTATTATTATTATTTCTTTTTTTTATATATTTTTATTGATTTCAGAGAGGAAGTGGGAAGGAAAGACAGGTAGAAACATCAATGATGAGAGAGAATCATTGATTGGCTGCCTTCTGCACGCCCCCCACTGCCTTTACCTTACTGATTTAGCTTACTGTTCGTGCCTTTGACCGGAATCGAACCTGGGAACCTTCAGTCCACAGGCAGATGCTCTATCCACTGAGCCAAATTGGCTAGGGCTGGAATTTTGTATTATTTTTTGATCTTTACCTTTCTTTAGCAAAGAGAACTAAACAGAAACCCATGTTCTTCCTGAATTAAATTTTTTCTTGGTTTCATTTTAGAACAGCTTTATTCTGCATACATATATCTTTGACTGAAAGTGGCAGTACAACCTCTGAAAGGTACTATTCATATCATCTGTTTAAATTTTCATTACTTTAGTAGTTCATGACAAGGCAAAGGAGCAGTAAAATCTAACCTGACCATTTCTAAATGTGTTTAAGCAGATTAAGTGAGTTAAGCAGCAGGGCTTTCGTGCTGTAGTTACTGGCATTCCTCAATGTGAAAGTTTGCTTTTAATGTGTGTTGATGATTAGGGAGAATTATTTCTCCACTTAGAGAGCACATGTACAGAAATATACATGGAATCACTTATTCTTTTGTGGTAGAGACGGAGCTTGATTTTACTTTATACTGAAAGATCAAATGTTTTGTTAATCTTGCCCAACTCCAAAAATTGTCATATCCCAGCACCAGAGGTCTTGCATAGAGGTGCTCTGGAAAGTATGTTAAAATAAATATTGTTGGCCCAGCTGGTGTGGCTCAGTTGGTTGAGCGTCATCCCATGCACTGAGAGGTTTCTGGTTCAATTTCAGGTCAGGGCACACACCTGGATTGCCGGCTCAATCCCTAATAGGCGCACTGGAGGCAGCTGGTCAATGTTTCTCATCAATGTTTTTATCTCTCTCTCTTCCTCTCCTTTCCTCTCTTTCTAAAAAATCAATAAAAACATATTCAAACAAACAAACAAACAAACCTTGTTGGGTCCTGGTCAGGTAACTCAGTAGGTTAGAGCATCGTCTCGATAAGCCAGGGGTGGGGAACCTTTTTTCTGCCAAGGACTATTTGGATATTTATAACATCATTTGCAGGCCATACAAAATTATCCTGCTATACTTAAAAATTAGCCTGCTATACGTTACTGTAAAAAAGAAGGAACTCTTACCATTTGCAACAGCATGGATGGGCCTGGAGAACATTATGCTAAGCAAAATAAGCCAGTCGGAGAAAGATAAATATCACATGATCTCACTCATATGTGGGATATAATGAACAACGAATTCATGGAATCTGGAGAACCAACTGGAGAGGGACAAAGCCAGGAAGGTGAACTTGGGCCAGACTAAGAAGAACCTGAAACCATGATATGTTTGGATTCAATCCTTAGGGCTACTGTCCCCAAAGAAGAGTGTGTATACCCTCGTTGGCACACCGGATCAATTTAGAAACATTTTAAAAATCATTATTTCCTTATTTTAATTTTCATCCATGTTTAATGGGCAGAAAATGCTAGCACAAAGAAATTGAAATTTAATGAATATTATTACCTAGAGCAAGGGTCACTAAAAAAAGGGGGGGGATACAAAATAATTTGATGAACAAAATAGATCCAGAGACAAATAGCAGGAGAGGTGGGAGGGGGGAGGTTAGAGAGCAACCAAAGGACTTGTATGCATGCCTATTAGCATAACCAATGGACACAGACACTGGGGTAGTGGGGCTTGCCCTGGGTGGGAGGGAGTGGCAGAGGGGGTCAATCGGGGAAAAAGGAGACATATGTAATACTTTAAACAATAAAAAAAAGTTAGCCTGGTATAGTTGGTCAAACATTTAATTAACTCACGCCTAATGACTTGACAGGGCCATACCAAATGATTTCTCAGGTTT